GTTCAAATCCCAGCTCTGTGTGACTCTGGACAAGCCACCCCGCTCTCTGAACCCGTGTTCCCCTCTGTACAGTGGGGATAAAAACCCGCACCTCAAAGGGCGAGGAGGAACTGGATGAGGGAAGGGGTAGGAAGCTGCCCGGTAGCCGGCTGGGATGAAAAAACAAAGGGCGTGTCCCGTTGCCAAGCTGCTCCCCAACCTCCCTGGGACAACATATCAAACAAAACATTGCGGCGAGAGGCCCGGGCACCTAGCAGGTGCTCACTCAGCGCTGGAACACGAACAGACAAGCCGAGTGTTTGCGTAAGACGGGTGTTGGCGTTGCACGTGTGAGAGTGTGTCTCAGTGATGCCACCCTCGGGCCCCGCTCACCTTGGGTCACCCGCCAGTGTGGCAGGTGACGTTTTGCTCAGGAGATAGATTAGGAAAGGGGTCCAGCTTATCTTTCAGGAGTGGTGTGGCCCCTCCCAGGCCCTGTCTACCAGAGGCAGCCCCAAAACAAACCTCAAAGGGATCACCTGCCAGCCAACCTGGGACCCAGAAGTCGGCTCAGCATTATCAGTGGAGCTTGGACCAGACCCTCGGCACTGTCCAACCGCACTGTCCAGAGGGAATAAATGGCCGTTGCTGTAAGCCACGAAGTCTTGAGCTGTTTGTTAGGCAGCGTTATCACAGTAATAGGGGACTGCTACAACAGCCTGGTGGTCCTCCTGCTGGGAATCGGCGACAACAGAGGTGAGGACGAGGACAGTGACCGCACCCTGGCTCAAAACAGCAAAATCCCACAGCCAACGTAAATATCCAGCAGCAGGGAATCAATCTATAAACCGTGGCATCCTTCCGATGAATTCCAAGCAACTACACAGAATGGGGCAGATGCCCTGTCATGACATCACAAGGTCTCGAAGACAGTTTTATGAGTGGGGCAAGCGAGCTGAAGGAGGATTTGCAGAGTGTCATACCATTCATGTAAGAGCATGCATCAAAATAAATACTGGATATTCTCTGTGCGAGCCTATTTGCAAACATGAAGAAAGAGCTCTAAGAAGAGACAAAGGGAGTAGAAAGGGAGCCCTTCATGTCAGTGAGGGTCTCAATCTTATACAAAAAGTATTCTTATTCAAATAGTATGAATTGATCTATATTACTCATGTAGGGAACAGTTCCAGTTAAAAAAGTTAGGTCAGTAGACATAGAGATGATGACTCGGGGTCCTCTAATCCCAACCCCAATTCCCAACATCTCTTCCTGAGAAGGTAGAGGACCTGATTCAGGACTAGCCACATTTCATTTTTAAAATCCCATGCAAGATGCAAGCCTATGAAAAGGTGCTTCACATTATTAACCACAAGAGAAATACGAATGTGAAATAGGATACGATACCATTACCAACTACCCGAGTGGCTAAAATTTAAGGTTGCCAATATCAAGTGTTGACAAAGAAATGGAACAACTGGAACTCTGAAACATAGCTGATGGGAACGTGAAGTTTGAGAAAAGGTCTGGAAGTTTCTTTATAACATTAAATGTACACATACCATATGACCCAGCACCTCCACTTGCTGGTATTTGTTCCAGAGAAATGAAAACATAAGCTTACCTAAAGACTCGTACAACATCATTCACAGTATCTGTATTCATACATACAGCCTAAAGTGTTTAACAATAAGCGAAGGGATAGATAAATTGTATCATAGCCACATAATGGAACCCAATAAGAGGGAATGGACCTCTGACCCACAGGACAATGTAGGGGAAGCTCAGAATCATCATGTCACGTGAAAGCAGGGCTGTGCTGGGAGGGCTCCATTCTGTGAAACTGAGAAAAGGCGAAACTGACTGATAGTGACGGGGGGACAGGCGGTTGCTTGCAGCAGAGGGGAGGTACTGACAGGTAGGGGGCAGGAGGCCACTCTATCTGGAGAAGGAAATATTCTCTATGTTGATGGAGTCGACATAGAGATGGTTTTATGAATTTATGCAAACTCATTGACTCACACTCTTAAAACGCATACATGTAATTGTATGTAGATTATTTCCCAGTAAAGCCGAGAGCACATGAAAGACTCAACCCTCCTGTCCCATCAGGGCTGCCTCCTTCACACGGGGAAGAACAGCACCCTGCATGCTGCTCGCCCCTTTCTCAGCCTCCTGGGCCAGTCTCCCAAGACAATGAGTAATTAGCATGCAGAAGTCTTGGCCCGAGAGCCAAAAACAACAGCGGTGTCACATCAAATGCTAAGCTGTCTCTGGCTCAGAGCGGAGCTCAGCCTCTCCGCCCCCACGCAACCCAGCCTCCAGTGGAAGGAAAACAGCCCGTGGGGCTGAGCACAGTCAGCGCCTCCCTGTGCGCCAGGCACGACACTGGGCCCTTTCCCTATTCCTCTTGGCTTTCTCCTCCTGCCGTGCCCAAGTTACAGGTGAGGAAACTGAGGCTCTGACGAGTGCAGGGCCCATGGGGCAGGAAGCTGGAGGGCTTACAGCCCTCCGTTGCAGACAGGCCCCTGCCCCCAGCCCACCTCATCCATCCCAACAGTCTCCGAGCTCCCTTTCCTCAAACCCCACCCCACATCCTCTGAGGCCCCCACCTTCCCCGGTGCAGAAGGAGGCCCAGGCGGGGCAGCCGGCCGGCCACCCCCCTCCAGCAGCAGAGTTCTCCCTCCTGAGGAAGGCCCTTGGAAAGAGAGGAAGGATGTGGGGGCTTCTGGCCGTGGGGAGGAGGGTGTCTGGAGGCCCTGGTGTCACGCCCCGCCCCTCGCAGAGGCCAGGCGTGTGGAGTCTGGACGTGAGCTTGGCAGGGTGAGGGGCTGTGGTCTGGGAGAGTCGGGCTTCCTGCCCGCACTGGGGCCCCTGGGGCGGAGCCCCTGACAAGCCTTCCGGCGTCGGCCCTTGCACGCCTGGCTCACAACGCGCCCCCTCGATGTCAAGTCCAAGCTTCTCAGCAGAACCTTCAGGGCCCTGCATGTCCTGGGCCAGTCTCCCTGACACCTGAGCCCAGAACTAGCCTTCGAGGAGGCCCTACACGTAGCCACCACACTGGCTGCGGTACAGGCTGTCTAGAGGCAGAGGGACTGGTAGTGACCCACCCGATGTAGGGACCCCGAACAGTCTTCTGTGTGTCCTTGGGCAACTCGCTCAGCCTCCCTGGTCTCTGGAAATGGGCACAAGAACAGGACTGGAGTGACTGAGAGCACTCGATGGGATCGCATGTGCCTTTCTTGGCCCACACTGGTCCTCCTCCCTGAAATAACGCCCCCCACCCCCCGATCCAGTGCCTCTTCGCCCCAACAAGGCTCAATCGAGTACTTTCTTTCTGGAAAGCCACCGGACCCCAGACCACCTGGTCACACCTCTCTCTGTCCCCTCTGCCCCCCTAGGGCTGTCTGGGGTCGGTGCACATAGTGTGTGGAAACACGCCCCTGCCAGGTGGAGCTGCTCTTCAGCTCCAATGTGTCAACGCTCCCTGGGTGCTCAGAACAGCTCTGGCCCCCCAGTGAGGTCTCCTTGTCACGACTACGGTAACTTTCGTCCTGGGTTAAGGTTGCCAGCCCTCCCTCCCCCCACAGGCTTGCAAGCTCTGTGAGGGCAGGAGGGGGCTTTAATCCCGTCAGCACCCCAGGGTGTCCCCTGGCACACAGTAGGTACCCTCACTTGGAGGAAGAGGGGCGCGCTTTTGGGTCAGGGGTAATGGCACTCAGCCATCCTCACAGGGTGTCCGATTCACAGACAACCTGGGTCTGTGTGTCCGCCTCACCCTGGCTTGGCTTCAGCCTGCTGGTCTCTGGGGGACGAGAGGAACAGACCATGACCCTGAATACACACCCCAACCCCGGACCAGTGCTGTTTGCAGGACACACCTGGGACAGGCGGAGGTCAGTACTAGCAGTACGTCGCGGAAGGCTCCAATCAGCTGGGGAGAGAGAGTTTGGGTGCGTGTGCGGCTGATGGATGGTGGCCTGAGCCGCACGCCGAACAGAGCAAGGCCATTTATCTCCTTGGCTGGAGGAGAGGTCAAGAGAGAGAAGTCATACGTTAAGCTAAACATGCGGCCTGAGTGGAGAGAGGAGGTCAGAGCCTCAGTTAACTCCTGGGGTGTTTTCATTCCGCAGCTCTGAGGGAGGGCTGCTGCGAGCCCCTGGGAACAGGGCGCTGGGCAGGCTGGCCATCTGCTGGGGAGGCAGCCGGGCCTGGCGACGTTCTCAGCCTCCTGCGGTTGCCACAGGGAAGCACGGCCGGGAGACCGAGGGCCGGGAGGGAGGGAGGAGCCACCGTGGAGGAAGTCCGACTGTGAAAGTGGAACCAGAGTCCGGTCCTTGTGGCCACCTCCGCCTTCGTCTGCGACTGTCACAGCTCTCCTGAAGACAGCGTTCAGAGTGGCCTCCCCGCGTCCACCCCATGTGGACCAGAGTAAGATCCAAAGTGCAGTAACACCCCACCCAAACCCACCCGTGGTGACGTTGTCAGTCATCGGTCCCCTTCCTCAGCTCGGACTCTTAACTTTTCAGTGACTTTCCGTAACAAAATCTAGTATCTTATGTGTCCGAACACCTTGCACCCCACTCACAACATCACGGCAAGGTTTGACTGCAGCCCCCACTACGCCCCTCCCCTTCTATGCCTCTCTGGCCTGGTCTCTTCCCATCACTCACAGCTCCAGCATCGCCGCCCCCCTTGGTTTTTCTCTAACCTGCCAAACACACCTGTGCCTCGGGGCTTTTGCATGTGCTGTCTCCTCTGCTAGGGATGCTCTTCCCGATGGACACGCTTGCTTTCCCCTCTTCCTCAAGTATGTTTCCCATGAGGACTTCCTGGAGCATCCTAGTAAGATGAGAACTGCCCCCCCCCCACACACAATACTCCATCCAACTCGATTCCTTCCCCTGCTTCATTTGTCTCCAAAGTCATCAGCGCCACGATATCTATGTGTTTATGTATTCACTCATTGTTGGAACTGTTGGGGATCACTGCTATATCCCTACTGTGTGACCTGACATGCAACACACTGCAAGTGCACAGTGAGTATCTGTTCGGGGAATGACTGATGAAAGCTACTCTTTCAGGATGGCTTCCTCTCTGCCCAGATCAGCGATGCTGATCTAGTTTTATTTAACATCTCAACACAACTGCGGCATAGACACCCTCTTCAGGCTCAGAGAGGCGAACCGGCTCACCCGCGGCCACACCAGCTGGAATCCGCAATTGGACCCATCGAGTGCCAGGGCCCGAGTGCTCAGCCACCATTCAAGAACGGATTTGGCCGTGGATTTGTTTTGAGAAGAACTAATCACACCCCAGCCCAGGGCGTACTGGGGAAAAGGGACCTGGATCTGAAAAGAGATACGAAAACCAAAGCTTAGAAATATGTGTTTCTGGAAGTGAAATCACTTGAGCGATTAAAGAGGAACCTAAGCATCGAAAGTGAATGCCACCTGAAATGAAATGGTTACTGTTTACAGAGGAGCACTGTGTGCAGGGCTTCCGCTGAGAGTCTCACGCACCTGGCCTTGTGCAACCTTCCCAGTGCCCCGAGCAGCACGCGCTGTCACCGTTGTACGGTCGAGGAACACAGGACTCGGGGAGGTTACGTAGTTTTTGAAAGGTCGCTAAGTTACTGTGCGGCGTGTCTGTCTCATCCCAAAGCCTGGGCCACCTCCTCTTTAACCTGCTGCCTCTAACACCTCGTTCTCTGAGATGTAAAGTTGGAGGCTCCCACCTTGTACTGCGCACTTGACCAGGGAGCAGTCAGAGCTGGGCTTGTCTCCTTATTCCCTGCGTGCTGCCTAGTGTAAGTGGTGCTCAGTAAGGGTCTGCTGGCTGGCTAGATGGGAAGAAGGGGGGGAGGGAGGGAGGGAGGGAAGGAGGGAGGGAGAAAAGAAAGAAAGAAGGGAGGAAGAAAAGAAGAGAGGAAGGAAAGGAGGGAAGGAGGGAGGGAGGGAAAGGGACTGGATAGCTTGGTCCAAGCCCAGGCCGATGTCTCTGCTCCTTCAGGAGCCCGTGTGGGATTCCTCAAACCTTCAGACTCCTGGATCCCTTGGCCACTCCTGAATCAGAAGAACTGTGGCCCAGGAAACTGCATTTATGACGCATTTCCCAGGGGATTCTGATGTTCCTCAAAGCTCTGAAAGCTGCAGCTATAAGGTGAGCTCCAGCAGCCCCCTTGTGCCGAGGCCCCTCTCATGTGGAGCCCCCACTGTCTTGATGGGCATCTGCCTGTGGCATAAACAGATGCCAGCTGCAGGCGGTCCAAGAAAAAGCAAGAGAGATTACCAAGGGTGAGGAAGATGACTTATTAGGCAAGATGGGAGGGACCGAGGGGCAGTGTTTGCGTGAGGGAAAGCAGCAGCCACCCATAAATCTAGGGGAAGGCCCGCAGCCCAGGCTGAGAGGCATTATACATCCTGGGTGCCAGCATTATGGGCCTAACGCAGGCAGGATGACATGGGAAACTCGAACTCCATGCCAGGGAGACATCCATAATGGGCGGCTTCCACTACTGGCCCATTAGGGTTTCACAACAAGATTCATCTCTGGGCCTGGGAGGCCCTTCGAGAAGGTCTCATCTATGGGTACTTCCGCTTTTTAAAGGCTTTTGTTCAAGCACTAGTTCCCTTTGTTCAAATGAAATCGGAAAGGTTATCCTAGTTGATACAATAAATGGATATACGGTTTGCCCCTCCCTGGGGGCGTCTCCGCGGACCCCCAGGGCTCCCAGGAACCCCGTGTGAAGGCCACAGAGCTGAGCCATGGTCCTCATCGTGCACAAGGAGAGACAGAGGCCCCGAATAGAGAAGGGACTTGCCTGAGGGCGCGCGGCCAGGCGGGTCCAGCTGCTGGAGACGCAGGGTGGGTCAGACCGGCGTCCTGCCCTACAGGTGCACGCAGGCAAATGGCAGAGGCAACCATAACAACAGCAATAGCAATAACAGGCACACAGAGCGGGCTTCTCTGGACAGACCCTGTTTTCCGTTGGTCCTTTACTGGGGTGACTTTGTTCCATCCTCACCACAGCCCCCCACGGGCTATTAGGGGGACTCACGTTTTATAGATGAGCAAAGGAGGCACAGAGAGGTTGCACACTGTAACCAAGATCACACAGCTGGCGAGAAGGCACAGAGAGGTTGCGCACTGTAACCAAGATCACACAGCTGGCGAGAAGCGGAGATGGAGTTTGAAGCAAGGCTGTGGGCCTCCAGAACGTGTCTTTTCTCCCCCCCCCCCTCACTCCTAGAAGCTGCTGCTCCCAAGAGCACAGAGGCCTCAGCTAAGTAAGTTGGAACTGCCATGCTGCTTCCTTCACATCCTTCTCCCAAGAGAAGCCCGGCTATCCCTTTTGAAGCCCAAATCTGATTGGGCTCTCTCCTGCTCAGATACCTTCAGCGGCTCCCCACTGCCCCGCTTCTTTCTGGACGTCAGCCACAACAGCCAGCCGCCCTCTGGCCCACCTCCCTGCCTTCGTGTGTACACTCCTGGACCCCCGCACTTTGTGGGCAGGCACCCCATGCAGAGAAACTTTTCTGCACACCCCCAAGGCCTGTATACTTCTTCATTTAAAAATCACTAGCCCTGGCTTGTCTAGCTCAGTGGATTGAGCACAGGCTTACAAATCAGAGGGTCACTGATTCGATTCCCAGTCTAGGGCACATGCCTGGGTTGTGAGCCAGGTCCCCGGTGTGGGGGCACGTGAGAGGCAACCACAGACTGATGTTTCTATCCCTCTCTTTCTCCTTCCCTTCCCCTCTCTCTAAAAATAAATAAAATCTTTTTTTAAAAAAACTCAACTTTAAAAAAGTACATAAAATAAAATAAAAATCACTAGTGTGCTACTCTGCTAACTTATGGCATGGATTGAAAAACATACTTAAATGTAATTTAAATAAATTAAATGTGAGGTAAAAAAATAAATAGGAATTTTATTGTTTTCTTCTTGCACCCCAAGGAATTGCCTTGCACACACCCTGGGCTGCCTGAGGTCACCCCTGAGGCTGCACCAGAATCCCCCGGGGCCTCCTTAAAACTCACGCTGCTCCGCCCCAGATTTTCTGATTCCATAGGTCCTACGGGCTGAACTGTGTCCCCTGAAAATTCATATGCTGAAGCCCTAACCCCCAGGTCCTCAGAATGTGACCGCATTTAGAGAAGGACCTTTATAGAGGTAATTTGGTTAAAGGGAGTTCAAGACGGTGAGCTCCCATCCTATCTGACCAGGTCCTTTTAAGAAGAGGACATAGGACACAGAGGGTGAGAGACACGGGGCACGCAGCGGAAAGACCTTGCAGAGGACACAGTGAGAAAGCAGCCATCTGCGAGCTGAGGAAAAACCAGTCCTGCCGACACCCCGGCCTTGGACGTCCGGCCTCCAGCCTTGTGGGACAGTGCACGTCTGGTACTTGAGCGGCCCAGCCCCGCGGGGTTTTGTGACGGCAGGAGAAGCAACTTGAGATGGTCACTGGTGCGGGGCTGAGTCTGGCATTTCTGACGAGCCTCCAGGTGACCCTGCTGCCACGGGGCAGGACCACACTCTGAGAACCGCTGCTCTCTGTCCTCTGAGGGATGGGGAAGGAGCGGCCAAAGAATGAGGGAGGGCTGGAGGCGTGGAGAGGGGGTTTCTGGCCAAGAATGCTGCCCTGGCGTTTCCCGGGCTCCGGGGAGAGGAGAGAGCTCTCCCCCGCGGGGGTGAGCCCTGGGACGGGTCGATGTGTTCCGAGCTGTTACTCTCCCTGCCCTTGGCTGGGGACACCGGGAATGAGTGGTTCGAGGTAGGAGTCTCCTGACACCCATCAGCTCTCCCCGCTGGGGATCCTGGGGCCAGCGCGGGGAGGCAAGCTCAGCCCAGCCCCTTCGCAGAGAACTAGCAGTCCCGGGCAAACAGAGGGCAGGGTGGGGAGCCAGCAAACTGATGAGCTTCTGGCTCATGGGACAGGCCCGTGGCTACAGCCCACCACCCCTTGTCCTAGCAGGAGCCTTGGAATGGCAACCCGAGCTCTGCACCCTTCCTTTGGGGGGAGGATCCAAACAAAGAGACCACTCCTATGGGTCATGAACCTTCTCTGAGCCTCAGTTTCCTCATCCATGAAATGGGCTTGATAACATCTAACCCTCCCCCATATGGTGGTCAGGATTAAATAGAAAAATGATAAATAGTTGGCTTTTTATCCTATGCTTATCAAGTGAGACTCCATTTGACTTCACCCTTACAATAACTAAGAGGCAATCTCCTGTGTAGATGTGGAAACTAAGGCTCAGAGAGGTCCAAGAAGTCACTCAGGGATTCAGGGCCAGGGAGTGGGGCAGCCCTATAGGATTCGGCCCCAACCGCAGAGCCCACACATGACCACGCCGAACCTTCTGCTCAGACAATAGCTTAGGACGGGCCCCGGCTCGGGAGGCACTTGCTGGCTCTTTGTTCCATTGGCTTGGCTCAAATCCCCCGAGTTAATTCCTCAGTCAATTTTGGAAGAAGGAGGAGGCATGAGGGACCAGGCCCTGCCCCGAGCCAGGCACCTTCCTCCCCTGTCCAGGTGGGAAACCCTCAAGATGGGAGACCACACATGGTTCTCAGCCTGACCTCCAGTTTGGTAAAGAAGTGACCAATACTTGTCTCTCCCCGCGATTATGAAGCTCTAGGTGGAAGCCCCTGGAGACAGGCGATTGCTATAACCATGTATTAGACACGTGCCTGCCGGGCCCTGTTAGGACCTGTTCCAGGTGCCAGGGATGTGGCAGAGAAGAAGGCGGACCCGGGGCTGCCCTCGTGGGGTTTGCTCTCACAACCTAGGAGCACTAGCTTGTGCCCATGTCACAGACATGAAAATGGAGGCTCCAGGAAGTTGGGTGGAGAGGGTGAGAGGCTGCCCAAGTCCCGCCCGCTATAAGAAACGATGGTTCTGGAACCGGCCCCCCAGATCCGCGGACCCCCAGTCCCTTGCCGATGCTGTATCACGCTCCCGTCCTGGTCCTCCGCCCAAGAGGGAAGATGCCACCTCTGCTCCCATTACTCTGAGTTTAACCCGGAGGGTGTTAGCTGGGTGGGCTCCACAGTGAGGCGAGGAAGAGACCTTTGCCCACTGTCCATGACCACCAGGCTTTGCCCCAATGAGAAAGGGAGGTTGAGACGGGCAAGAAAATGGAGAGGACAAGAGGGAGATGGAGAAAAAGGGAAGGTGAGAGACAAAAGATCAAAGCAGCACCATTTCAGCTGGTTGAACTCCCTGACTCTTCGAGGGGCAGTTCAAACACTCTCCCACCCAGAAGTCCTTTCTTCAGTTCAGCCACACCAGTCACCCCCTCCTCCTGGTGTGGCATTTCCAGGGCTCGTCTGGTCTCCCACACCAGGTCACACAAGCCAAGATGGTTTGGGTGGCCGGTTGCTGAGACCTGACTCGGCTGGCTTCAGCCACAGCAGGTGCTCAGGGGCTCCCAAGACTGAAAAGACCAAGGGTAGAGCTGGCCTCAGGGGCTCAAACGTGTCATCGGGAACTGTATTTGGGGCTCTGCTGTCCTCTGGGTGGGCTCTGGTCTTAGGAGGTCCTGCCCCCAGGGGCAAGAGGGCCACCACCATCCAGGACCACCCTGCTCCCCCAGCAGACTCCTCCTGGCCCCGCTTGTCTCTGGCATCTACTCTGGAGCCAGAGAGCAGCGGGCAGGCCCTCGGGACAGCCAAATTGGGGTCACAGGCACAGGGGACGGGATTTCCCCAGAGGAAAATGGAGGTCTTACTGTCCAAGGAAGAGGGCAGAGGAAAGAAACTGAACTGCACTCCGAGGCCTGTATCCAGCTGCCTCCCTCATCTCTGCTGCGTGACCTTGGACAAGTCCCCTCCTGATCCTCAATTTCCCCTTTTACAAAATGGGGGTGATACCCTCACTCTGAGGAACGTTTGAGAGGATTTAACCAGCTCAGATATAGAAAAAGCCTTGGGTGGTGCCTGGCACGCAGGAGGCACCAACTTTGGCCTCTCCTCCCACTCTGGACACCCCATACCCAGGCAGGAAAGTTCCACAGCCCTCCACCCCGTGCAGAACAATGACGCTTCTTAAACAGTTGGCTAGTGATTTAATCAGATGCTCCCGCCTTGCAGACATCTCTCTGCACGTGTGAACGGTGCCATCTGTCTTTTCTCCAAGGAGCCTCTCCCAGGGTTATGACGCTCTAGGTGGAAGCCCCTGGAGACAGGCGATTGCTATAACCATGTATTAGACACGTGCCTGCCGGGCCCTGTTAGGACCTGTTCCAGGTGCCAGGGATGTGGCAGAGAACAAGGCGGACCCGGGGCTGCCCTCGTGGGGTTTGCTGTGACTTACCGACATGCCCCACACCTCCCCAGGATTAAAGAACACCCTGTGGCATTAACTCCTTCCAACATCATGGTGCTCATTTCTCAGATGAGGAAACTGAGGTTCCAGGGAGGGACAGCCCCTCAGGGAGGTCGACCACTCAGCAAGCCAGGGGCAGACATGAGAAGTGGCTTCGAGATTCCTCCCCCCGACTCAAAGCCCAAGTCAGAGCTCGATGAAGGTTAATTACAGCAACAGCACTTGTGAAAATCAAGTGGGCCATCTTCCAAGAAGCCAGCAGAGAGAGGGAAGGGAGACAGCTGTGTGCAAAGTCAACCTACGGTCTGCAGGAGCCGCGTCTGGTCCCTACACGGCGGTGCACGGTCCCCCGGGGTGGTCCTCCCAGCAGGCTGGTCAGTGGGGGGGCCCCGGCAGCTCTGTCCCACCTTGACCTGTGGGCCGAGAGCAGCAAGCAGCGTTGACACAGTGGCTGAGCTGCCACCAGGCCCAAACCTACACTTTGGGGCAGGCCTGGAGTCCATGGGGAGAAGGCCCACGTCCTGCACCCCACCCACGAGCGGCCACCAGCTGGGCCACCCAGCAGGGTGAGGTCAAGTCTCTCCCTGAGCTCCAATCGCTGAACAGGCAATGAAGATGTAAGAGTGCACCTGACTAAGGTCCCAGGCAGACATCAGCCATTCACAGTGACTTTGGAACCCAGCCGAGCTCATTTCTCAGCAGCATGACGTCACCCCCCACCCCTGAGCCTCAGCATTCTCATCTGCACAGTGGGGATGTTCAATCTCTACTTTACACAGTGAGGGGTAACAATACCGCCACTCTGCACACATCACACCATACAACCAATACAGTTAGCAATTCAGCGCACGCAAAAAAACAGGCTCAGAAAACGGGAGTTGCCCCAGAACACACAGGTGATACAGGTCTGTCTGACTCCACAGCAGGCCTCTGGCCACCTTCCCCAATGCACAGTAGGTCCTCACTCTATGCCAGGCACTCGCTCTACACACATCCATGCTAGCAGCTTCCAGTTTCGTCCTGCCTACGTCCTGTTGGCGTGTGAGTTCTGAAGGGGTTGGCTGTATTTGCCCTGGAAGACTTGGGAATTCAAATACACTCATGAAACCCAAACAGATGCCTTTATTAATGGCCCACAATCAGGCAGAACCTATTAGCTGAACAAACAGACAAGAAAGCCCTCTGTCCAGTGCAGGAGAAACAAAGGGCTCTTTTTTCCCTGCTGGAGGCTGGATGGCAGCCCTGTGCTCAGGGGAGAAGGCAGGTGTCCTTGGTGGAGAGCCACAGCTCACACATCTCTTCAAGACGCCGGATCCAGACAGAGAAGTTCTCCTTGTATTCCTCACAATCCCGCGCATGCCCTCTCTGTAGCCACAAACACACTTTGTTGGCTAACCTTGCTCAGAGGGGAGGGCTCAGCCAGCCGGCTGGTGCAACGGTCTTGCAGCCAGCAAGGCCCAGAGAGTGAAGGTACCAGAGGGCAAAGGAGAGGCTCCCCTTCCCAAACCTGTGA